GCCTTTAGATCTCTCCTTCTCCCTCATCCACTTGCTCTCTCCCCTCTCTCTGTTTCTCTTTTACTCTCTCTCACGCATGCCGATTGTGTGTGAGCTCTGACTCCTTCCCCTCCCCCTCGGCTCCCCTCCCCTCCACTTTGACATTCACACCCCCTCTTTTATTGAGGAATCACATGGAAAAGGGAAAAGTATGGATGATGTACATCTTGGGATGGTTGTCAGATGTGGAACGTGACACAGCAGTCGTATATCACCTTAGGGACACAGACATACTCGCCCCAGCTGCCACACCGACAAGCAAATGGGGATTCCAGCCAAATCAAGAGGACTGACCAAAAGTCTGGCCCTCTTTTACGAGGTCCAGGTTATAAAACTGTTAGCAGAGTTTACTTAAAAACAATTGGTCTGCTGGGTTTCGTTACTGTCTTCCATGAGACTTGGGAGGTGTAACTCAATTCAGCTGGAATCTATTTTGAAGTATGTATGTAGTTATATGTTGTAGGATAATGGAAAAAAGATTTTTTTCTACCTCAAGAACAACTACAAAGGGGGAATGACAATAGCTGTATTAAATTGACGTCTTCATACGCTAGCATGTGTTTTAAAATTCATACAAAATACGAAGAAATTGCATTCAAATGCAAAGCACATAACTGCATTCTTGGAATATAAAATAAAAAACAGATGTGCAATTATGAGTTCCCAATGAACGCATAATTACTATTTCACATCTCCGACATGGAGAGAATCCAGCAAGCATTTCTGTTTTTCTCAAAGTTTGTCCTTCTGTGGCCAAAAATGTCCTTTAAACATCATGGTCGAGGAGGCAGTTGAAATTAAATTACTGCAAATATTGGCACTAGAGGGAGAAAAATTCGAGATATGGACTTCATCTGAAAGCAGACTGAAGGTTTGTGGCTTGAAAAAATCTGATTGTCAGATCTTACCAACTTTATCCAGCAGTTTCCATGATGCTAAGTGCCAAAAAATTTAAAATGACTTAGTTTGAAGCTTCTCATAGAAAAGAAAAGGCCAAGATGGACTAACTTAACTGCAAATACTGACTAACATACAGTTTTACAAAAGAAATGCAGCACAAAACGTGATCAGACGGCACACACAAACCATCATGCCAAGTTAGAAGCCTCTTGAGAAATAAAGTCTGTGCTAAAAGCGCAGGAGGTCAAAAGTTTACTCAGCATAAATTACCTGCAAGGCTTGGTGTGACCTCACAAATGTTCTCACCTTCTATCTCTCGACCCCTTGACAGCACCATAAATTAACAACCAGCAACTCCTGTTCACACACTGCAAATCTGAATTGAAGTAGATTAGCGCAATGCTAATTCAAAGTGGGCTGATCATGACAACAGGGTTATGTTACACGGCCACTAGCTAGGTATTTAAGTGAGGCGCACACATATGCATACATTAGAATAAAAATAAATAATTTCTCTGAATCCTTTCTATAACTGCGAGACAAATGAAGACTGGCGTTGACCTGGTATGTCAGCGAGAGCAAAATAGCCTCAGCAGAGATTTCCTCCGAAAGCTTCCCGTTCTGGAAACGAGCCCTTCTCATGCCTGTCCATTATATTTTTATTGTATCCAGGAGCATCTGCAGTCTTTCAACACTCGACTATTCTTTCAGCTTCCGTTTTGCAATCTGATGTGGCACAAGTATTATATCAAGTGATTTACAGTCTGCATTTGTCCATCCATCTGTTATTTGTTTCAGTGCATTCAAACCTTTTTTTTCAAGGAGGATAAAGGGGGTGAGTATTGTCAAAAGACATTGCGTTTGCCTTGATGTATTTTTACATGACAGTATGTATTCATGCATTTTATCCACAGATTCATATCTTTCTCCCCGTCAACTGAATTTGGCTTTTATTTTTAGCCACCACAGACAGACTGAGTTTGCAAAGCAGCTTGTCAAGCAAAGAACATGAAGTGAGCCAAAGTTTTCAAACTCGGGATTTGATCACAAAGTCTCATTTCAAGCTACATGACAAAAAAGCCTCATAATTTCGGGTGATTTATATCAAAACAATGCATGCTGTCGCACTGTCTTCCAGAAATTAGCTCCTCTGGGAACGCTGACCTGGATGATAGTCCATAGTCCAAATTTACAGCCGGTGTAGAAAAACTTTTCTTCCTCTAGCTCTTTAAAATAATACTTGCCAAAGACAACTTTGCATTGATCACTGTACCAGGTCTAGCAGGCAAAAACACATACCTACTAAAATAAGTTCTTAGCAAGGAAATAACAGAACATACAGATATATGATTTCTGTGTGAATTAGTTGGGAGAGTGGAGTCAATTATGACGACGCTGTAAAAGAAAAAAAACAAGAACATCTAAAGGCAAAACTGAGGGGAATGTAACTGTTTCCCCATGTGTACCTGAGGCTGTAACTAACCTCCTAAAATGACTTAATTCTGCCTGTTTACTATCAGTGTGCCAACTGCTGTAGGCATTGTCAAGTCTGTAGCTATGAAAAGGACAAGGCAAAATGACCGGCATCCACTAAGTTCCAGCAGCTTTTCCTATTAAATTAAAACTCATAAAATAAGGAGGACAATCTTGTTTAATTGTGTTGTGTTTAGGCAGTTTCTGTAAGTGGTGTCTTCTATTAGATAAACAAATCTGAATATATGTATTAGATGCTGTTTAAAAGAATATATTTATCTACTTCCATTCACGTTCAGACTATTTAAAAGTACTGAGGTCTAGCGTTTGCAGTTTTGTACTAGGGGATAATTAAAAATTATTAGGAATTTTCATTTATCATGAATGTTAACAAGATTTGAATATGAAATGGCAAGACATTGTGATGTAAAACTGAAAAAAAGAAAAGGCAGAATTTTATTTTTGTTGGAAGCCTTTGCAATTTTATATAATTCCTAAAGCTTAAGTGTGGAATTTGTGGATTACTAGTCACCAAATGCAAAACTTATGACTGTTTCAAACAGGTTCCTCTCCTGTCTGCCATTGGTTAGCTAAACAGGTAGCCCCATCCAAAAAACATAACATTGGCTGGCTGATCGTGCAAACAGCAATATTTTGATGGCACTCCAGAGCCACCATGTTTTTTGACATGTTTCGGTGAAACCAACCCACAAGTTGTTTACCTAGGCTATAGTTGTCTCTGCATAATAATCTTAGACATGCATTTTAAATTAAAAAAATGTCACACTTCACCTTTATTAAGGGAACAGTTCTCTTACTATTTAAACTCTCTACAGTGGTTTAGTGGTTAAATATTTTTGGTTCAAAACTTCAGGTCTGTTGTATTAAGTCAGTTTGGCTAAGAAGATGTTTGCTAAAGAATTAAAAACTAAAACAATACGATTAGTTTTGACTACAACTCTATAATTGAAACGTTTAGCAACCACCAATAGACCTTTAAAAAATTCATTGGCGATCTTTTGCACCAGAGACTTTTATTACATTTTCCTGTTCAGAAATGTAAGGAGACTCGACTGGAGACTGAATAAACATCAGTTAAACAAGAGCCAGGAAATATTAAAACGATGAACACTCAATTGCTTAATGTTCTGAAAGGCAGTAGGTTTAAACTCTGTAACGGGTGATCCACGAGTTCTTACCACTCTGAAGCAAGCCACTTACCTCAGCTTTCTTTAGGTGGACTGTCCCTCTTGAAGGTACGGTCACATTTACTGTTGACCTGTGATGATTCGCGGGCGAAATCCAATCATATCAGAATCCGCGCGATCGCAGTTTCACCTGAGGGAGAAAGAATCCCCACGCAGATTTCGCTCGTGTTCAAGTTGTCACAAAAATTTCCCACCTTGACCAACCAGCGTCTTTGTGTAAAATGTGACTGCTGTCTGAGTGGTTCTTGCATTGCTACACTATAATGGATAATGGACCTTTTATGTCCGCAACATTTTGCTAAAATTACCGCTGTAAGTCTCTTAACAATTTATACTGTCTATAATTTGTAGATATATATAATATATAGAGTGTATTAAGCAACAGAAATGACTTATGAAATGTGAAATGTACTTATACATGGCTGCGCGCTATTGATTTTTTTGCCTGCGAAAATTCTCTTATCTAGGCCTATTGCTAATATGACCGGAGGTTCTAATATACTGGCAGTGGAGATCAGATGCATGTTTGATATCAGGCCTTATATTATTATTGTTAATACAATGTAGCCTATCTTATTTAAATGAAAACAGATCTGATAATGTTAAGGTAATGTTTACACCTGCCATTAACATCTTGTTGAGCTGAAAATGTTAAGCTTCATGCTTATAGTTCTTTACTTGAGTACCTTTATTAAATGAGAATGTACATGCTTAAATATATATTTATTAATTGAGCAGACTTTGTTTTGCAGAAAATATCTGTTCCTCAATATTTCCTGTGACACATTAGCATTTACACTACAAATGTGGTCACATGATGTTTGACTACTTCAAAATGTGGTCTGAGCGATCATCAGATTCCAAAACAGTTTTTTTGGACAGATTTTATACTTGTAGGCTATACAATGCTCACCACAGAGGTAGATGTTAATACCAGATGTAACCAGGGTCTTTATTGCATTCTGGGATGTTAAAGTTTGTCCACATTCCCCATTCACTGGAGACAGGCTAAAAATGTCCTAGATCCGTCAGCCTTTGTGTTTCAGACAGAAGCCTGCTAACTCATGAGGCTAATATTTTAGTAAGTGTGAAGGCTAGGAATGAAGACTTGATAATACCGGTGTGATGTAATGCACTTCTTTTGTCTTGGCCAGGAACTGAGGCCTTGATCACAAAAGCTCTGATTACAGACACGCTCAGCCTGTCTTTTTATATACAGCACCAGCATTTATCAGTTGCATAATGTGCCAGATCAGAACGTGAACAGCCAATGCAGGTTATAAAATGAGGATGTTGGACCTTTCCTTTTTACCATGGGAAAAACACTTGTTTCCTTTAACTAAATCATGAAAAGACCTTTGGGAAATCTGAGTTTGGGTACTTTATAGTGTGCAGTTATTTTCTCTCATATGCCTATGGCATGTTGCTGTATTATATTGACAGCTTTATCCACATAATCATGGCAATTGTGCATGTCTGTCTGCCTGTATAGGATATATGGTTTGATTTAGCGGCTCATATTTTTAACTGCTCCACGCTTGGTCCCAAGGCACATAAGGCACTTCCAAACAGCTCTCTCATTTCAGCATGTTTTTGATTTTATGTTGAATAAAAAATACACATAAATGGTATTATGACATTTATGCAGCACAACAGAAACAACCATGTGCAACAATGTGAATTTAATCAGCGCAATACACAAAGTCGAGCAGATTTCTTGACTTTCTCATGTTATTGAGGATCCCATCAGGCCGTTCTCAGCTGTCATTAATGTTCGTGGCGCTGCCAAAGACGTCCTCCAGAAAGAGCGAGTAGTTGATGGTTTTAACTGCAGGGTCTGCAGCGTCTCCTCTCCAGTCTGCGTCAAACTGAAAACAACAGCACGACAGGGTTTGAGAAACAGTTCACAGAGGTTCCTGGAGCACATATGTTTAACTGGCACTCTCATTTCATGTCTCTGCAAATTAAGGTGAACCGAGACAAAGATTTATCAGGCCGGATTGACTTTAGCACATGGTAAATGTCTTGTACTTGCTATTTAAAAATGTATGACAAATGTTTAACGACTTTGTGTGGTTCAGTAAATCAGACACATAATCATCTTTTTAAAAGAATTGCTGCAGATAAGATTTTTTATTGCTCAATTTGTTAAGGTGACCAGATTTCTCAAATGAAACTGGGAACATTTTTAGTTCAACAGTCTATATATCACTGAAATATCCAATGTTATTATCTATGAATTCAATAAGGGGGACAGTTTTGTGTAATTTGAACATGGTAAATGTAAAACTGTGATGAGTTATTGTATATCATACTCTGATGTACTACTATAAATTAGTGTAGTCATCAACACACACTTATGAACTGTAAAAACTGTTCAGAGTAAAGGTCCTTGCACACTGAGTAAGAAATTTTCGTATGCGTTTTTAAAAAAATTTATCATCCAAACCTTGCACACAGTCAGATGCGTCAAAACACCTCTCAAAATGCTTGCTATGGATGTGAAAAATGCAGAAAATCGAACCCCATCCAATTTTTTTTATGACGGACGAAAGTTTCGGAGGCAGTGTGTAAACGTTATTGACACATCGTGAGGTTGTATTTATTTTTTTAACGACTCGGTGTGCAAGGTCCGTAACTTGCTTTCCTAAAACTAATGTTTGTCGAAAGACAATGTTAACTAAACCTAAAATGATTAAAAATATTTTTGTTAATTAAATAGACACACACAAAAAAAAACTTAAACTGAAGTACAAAAATGACTAAAACGTAAACAAAAATCAATTAAAGCTAAATAGAAATATTTTTTAAAAATCAAAAAAACTGAAAATATAAAGCTGAAGCTAATTCAAAATATGAATAAATACTATAATATAAATACATCTAAAATAACACTGGATATTGGCTACCAAAGGAAAAAAAATGTCCCTGGAAATCCAAGGCATCTGGTTATCCTGTCACATATGTAACATATTGCAAGTATACATACTTTTTATGCACAGAGCTTCATGTGGTTTTTATGAAACATGGCTCTAGTCACTATACTAGACCGATTAGACAGACCGATCGATCCTTACAGTTTCAGTGTGGTCTTGTGGTCTTATTCTTCTTTCTTTCATACTGAGAAGTATTTGATAAATGCAGGGCAATTCACCATTGTAATGGCTGCTAGATTTGGTTCAGTGAGGGCCACGGGAAATGGCTGAAACTGGCAAATTTAGCGGTCAATAAACAGTGAAATGAGCTATGAGAAATGAGTGAGCGAAGCAAAAAACACAGAATCACACAGCCTGGCTTGCTTCTTATAGATCCATCTTGGAATCGCTATGTATGCTCCTACAAGCCTTGATTACATAGAAAAGACAGCGGTGAGAAACTATACAGACAAATCGACCGCTGGCTCCCTCTGCTGGTTTTGTTAAAACCCAGCACAACTGGAAGGCTTCTCATTGCGAGTCATTAAGCAGATGGTTCTGCTTAGGCTCCAAGGAGACATGCTAAATTACTGCGCTGTAATAAAAGCTCCACTTCAGAGTAGTTGTTGAGTGGGTTTTTCCCAAGTCTGATTTACTTGAGATGAGGCTTGGAGGTGCTCAAAGCTTGTGGGGCCCAAAGGTTACCAGGGCCTGGACCTAGGGCTGTGCGCATCGCGTTCAAAATCGCAGGCGATTCATTGCCGATTTTGAACGCGATATTGCGTAGCTTGTCAGTGAACTATGACTCTATGTAGTAAATGCCGCTCCATCTGAACGCACGTGCTGGAGATTTACTACTAATCACAGAACTGGCTTTACTGACGAGATGTGCATGAAAATCGCATTCGATTATTTGCACAGCCCTACTTGGACCCTGACACAAACACTCTCATGTACATGCTTTTAAACTCACCTTCACAGTGACATCTGGAAGCACAGCAGGGGCGGGGTTTTCTCTCCAGTTGATATTGGATAGGAAAGCGTGATAGTCAATCTTCTCAGACTCGTCTTGAAACCTGGATGCGAACATGAGAGATGCAGAAAATAAGGATGTGTTGTGGTGAAATGTTTCTTGGATAATAAATGGAAGTTTTGCTCAGTTGACCCTACTTTTCGAGGAGGGCTCGTTGTAGGTCATCAGACAGGGGCAGTCGGAAGGCTTTAAAGATGATCTGTGCCTCTTTAGAAGAGAGGTGTCCAGATCTACGGCAGCACCATTTGAGTAGACAGAAATAAGACGGAAAGAAGAATGAGTAACTCACGTCAACATATACAGTGGTGGCCAAAATTATTATTATTTATTATTATTATTATTATGTTATTATTATTAGTAACACTAGTATTTTCACCAGCTAAAAAATGGTTTTAAGTCACTTAATCACACACGCTGTAGTGTGTCAGTAGGAAGTATCAGTTTCCAAACATTAATTTAGCTATTAATTGTAATAATCCAGTAAGATTTTTGTTTGCACAAGGCGTCTGACAACAGCCAGTGCTCCACACAGAGATCTGATCTCATCATCATCATCCAGTCTGTCTGGAATGACATGAAGAAACAGAACAAACTTAGACAGACTCAATCCAGAAGAACTGTGGCAACGTCTCCAAGATGCTTCAAGAAACCTACCTTCAAAGCTACAGTACTGTTAAAAGTTTTAGGCACTTGTGTAAAAATGCTGTCAAAAAATGTCAAAAATAGATTTTCTTTATCAATTCACTTCTATTAACTAAATTAAATCAACATAAATCAGCATACATAATCTGTAGAATTCATTACGCTTTTGAATTAAGTTTTTTTTCGAGTCTCTTCTTTTCAAAAATTTTCAAAGTATTTATTTGAATTACAATTAACAATTTGCAATGCTACAAATGGCTTCACTGTCACTTTTAAACAATGTAATGCATCCTTGCTGAATAAAACAATGCATTTCTTTATAATGTATTGACCCCAAACATTTGAATGGTGCATATTATAAAATACATTAGAAAATAATTTATTCAAAAATTATTATCATATTCAATTTTCTTATGGAGTTCATGACAGACAGCTGCAGACATTCCTGGTTCATTATTTTCAGAACATCGTAAAATAACTACACTTTCCACAGGGCCACATAAACAGGACAAGCACGTTGACCTGTCGGCATTCTTCCTCATCTATTTCCCCTGCCTGCAACATGCCACAGGTCTTCATCTGTTTCCAATGCTTCACTTGAACCGCTGGAACTAATCGCACCCCCTCAATCTAAAGCAGATTGATGGTTATTCTACCCCACCGTGATTGTTAGTGGTCCACATCAGTGCCTGCGTGACTCTGAATAGCTGAGATAGGGTGTCCTTACGGAACAACGGGGAATGGTTTTGTGGTTCTGTATGAATGCATGTTTATGTTTATGTCAATGTTGATTTGTTATTATATACATTTGGTCATGTGCATATACTGCGACAGGGTGCTTACAAGTAACAGATTGAAGAAAACAAGAGGAAATATATATTAGGACAAAGTTTAAATTCAGTGGAGTTCAAATGTCTAAGACCATATCCAAAAATTTTTTTTCAAAATTTAATAAAAATCTGGAAACATGTAAACCAAAACAATATTATAAAGTAAAATGTATAGTAAATAGTAGCAAAATGTTTGATATTATTTTGTTTCCCTTCCTTAGAAGAGGAACTGAATGCACAAAAAAGTATGCCATTTTGAAACTAAACATAAGCAGCAAATTCTAAATGTGAAATTTGTAACACTACTCACAAATAAATCATAAGAATAAATATTTTAGGTAGTTGTATATACTGACAGCCCTATGTGCACAATTAATTAAATACAAGAAAATCTACTTTAAAAAGTTTTTAAAGTCATTTGAGACAGAAAGTGAACCCTGCTTGAGTGCTACCTGTCCCGGTCCTCGTGTGCAAAGGCTCGAATCATATCTGTGAAGTTCTCAAAGTTGTTCTTCTTTAGCTGATCCTGAGCCACAGCAAGCACGAGGCCCAAGTCCACCTCTGGTTGTTCCCGCGATGAATAATTGCGACCAAGCGTTATGATCTCGTGTTCAAACAACTGAATGTCCATTTCAGCCAACAGAGTCCTGTGAAGGACACAGCCATTACAGAATGCTTGTGCACTGTCAAACTAAACAGTGTACTGGGTACGCATATTTTGAAGCTTAGCAGCTGGTCCTTAGTTGGTCATGAGCTGGTTTAAGCTGGCCCTGAGCTGGTCCTGAGTAGGAGCTAGGTGCTTAGGAACAGTTTAGGACCAGCACATGACCAGCTTAAACCAGCTCATGACCAATTAAGGACCAGCTTAAACCAGATGCCGTGCTTCAAAACATACCTATTTTTTTTTTCAACAGGGCTTTTACTGCTTTTATTTGACAATATGTGTTTAATGACACAACCATGATGTGTATGTTAGGAATTAGAATTTAGTACAGTTTGTTTCTTATGCTGGGTTGTAACCAGGTACAGCCACCAAAAGAACTCCAAGTTTTGTCCCCAATCAGCCACAACTGCGACAGGACATTTTGCCAGTCAGTTCTATTTCTGTAGGTAATTCCACCCACAATTAAATCTCAAATTCAGTGAGTCTAAGCCAAAATTGCACTCAAAATAAATTATATGGCAGGCTAGAACAAGGTGTTATGCACCTTTTTATTTGTGTATTTTTGGCTGCCTTCTTACCTAAATGACTCATATGGAATGAAGCCAGTGCTGCTTGGGTCACTCATGGTGAAGAACTGTTTTACTTTCTTCTGCTCTTCCTCATTGATGGATTTTACCTTGCTAATAATGGTGCCAATATTGGCCTTGGGGAACTAAGTAATTGAGAAACATAAGTGAAGGGATTTCAATGAAGTTTCTGTGTAAAACAATTTTGATAAAAACACAAGAGACTTTATGATTTTTGTGTTACCTCATCTGCATGCTGCTCCATGTAGTCGAATGTAAATTCATCAGCATCCAGCAGCTGGAAGGGCTGATTGTTCAGATCCAGCCGAGCTCCCACATACAAATCCTGAGCTGTGAAATACTCGGACATCTCACTCTTAAATAGCTCCTGTCCTGGCTTCTTCACTTGACCTCTCTTTAAAAACTTACCCCCAATCACACCTTAAACACAAGAACAATGGAGTAACATTAGGTATAATGTTAATTATGTTTTTATCTGATCTGAATGTAAAGGAACAGGACGGCAGTACCTGAGTTTCTCTGAGGAGGTTCAAAGACTGCAATGGTATCATCACTGAGGTAGACATATATGATAAAAACACGTTCCTTGTCGATAGGACTGTCTGTAAGCATTTTCGCCACAAATCTCAACACATTGCTTACCAGACCTTGCCTAAAGTTGAGAAAAAAGTTCAATTTATTATCTGGCTGAGAAATGTTTTGTTACAATAGACAGGAATGAATAGAATAAAAATGTTATCATTGATTTGACATTTTAAAATCAAACTAATCATGTAGACGCACCATGTTTTTGCCTACATTTTGAAATTTATTTGAGCTAAATAGTTATTCTCATTGTAAAAAGTATTTTTTTTATCCTATACCATTTGAACTGAATAAAACATCCAAACAATGCACTAGAGTTTGATGATTTTATTTTTAAAATGGTTATTTTGAAGAGATAGTTCACCCAAACCTAAAAATTCGGTCATTGTTTACTTACTCTCAAGATGTTCCCAACCTGTATGACTTTCCTTCTTCTTCAGAATACAAATTTGTGCACAAATCAGCATAATAGAATGATTTCTATTAAAAAAAAACTTGTCTCTTTTAGACTTGCACTCTATTTATTACACAATTAACAAAAGCAAATAAGGCCTCTAACACTAGCTTGCTCTATTCTTTTTCTATTCTATCTGTTTTCTTTTTATTTATTATATTATTTAAAAAACCCTTGCTACATGTACTGCGTTAAGCTAACTGAGACTTATTATAGCACTTGCATATCATTGCTCTTTTATTGATTTTGATTGCTTCCATTGTCCTCATTTGTAAGTCGCTTTGGATAAAAGCGTCTGCTAAATGACTAAATGTAAATGTCTGAAGGATCACGTGACACTGCAGACAAGTAATGGCTGCTGAAAATTCTGACTTGAGACAGCCTCATAGACTGAACAGACCAAACTGCATGTGACACACTTGTGCCAAGTTTTCTTATATGCTTACTATACTAATGGACTCCCTAACTTTGCTAGAAAGTTTGAAGATCTGTTCTCTTTCCAGCTTACAGTGACTATTCTTTAAATATTTAGTTCACCAGGGTGACAAGATCAGGATGGGTCTTGGTTCCTTACTTACATTCAAGAAGTTTCCTTGCTTATTCAATGTGTTTAGTCCTGTCACTTAGCTGCTTTGAGGTTATTACCATCTATAAAAGAACCCTTCGCTTAGAAGATAATTCTTTTTCCTTCAAACTCTAAGCCTGCCAATGTCTGACATTGTATTGTCCAAAGCAGATTGAGCGAGACAGTAATCTGCAGTGTGATACTGGTTCTGGGATTATATTTGGAAGCAAAGCACTGTGAAAACAATGTATAATAATAAACTGACTTGAAAAAGTGTGTTTTACATCGGAAGTATGGTGAGATTGCGTTTGAGCTTCTGATTATTTATAAAGGACATGTGTTCATCCGTGTGCTGTACTGCAAAGAGCTGCACTTAACTGATGAAGGAAGACTTTAGTAGGACAGACAAGGGTCTAATGTCTTCTGTCAAAATGATCAGAAAGCCAGTAAGGGCCTGACATGTTGTTTTGATCTAATATTAATTGTTTTAAATTAAAGGCAAGCATATACTCTGGATGTCCTAAGGGAGATTAGCTCCGCTGGTTACCTGTCTTTTTCCATAAGCTTCTTGAAATCCTTCTGTGGAGGTTTAGGCAGCAAACCCTGACAGGAGCACAGCGAATCTTCCTCAGATCCAAATCCAGTGTAGGGTGCCACCTGTCTGGCTGGTTTAGGAGGGAGCGAGGCCTGGTATGAGACAGGTGTGAAGTCCTCTGTGAAGCCACACAGGAAGAAAACATCAAAAACACACACACATTTAAGCAGACATATGCATGGAAAACCGGAAGTGAGGCCAGACAGGTTGCGTATACTCATATGAATTCAATCCGCAACCTCTTAACCTCTGAGAAACGGACAAGTGCTTCATCAGAGCATGTGTCAACCCGGCTCCATTAGGCTCATGTGTAACTAATGCTATGATCTCTTCGGCCTGCATAACGCCGCAGCAGACAGATGCACGCGCACCTGTATTGTGTTACCACTGGCATGGAGCTCGTGTGCTTCTCATGTCCGGGCTTTTGAAGATAAAGAGGCCAGGCTGGTCATTGCTCATATCTGCTGTCCAAAAACTGAGTCACCTTGAGGTGTCAATCATTTCTGCTCCTTTAGTCATCTGTCGTTCAATGCGTGTTATTCCGACAGTTATTCACAGAGATGAAAGCACACTAGGGAGCATTAGGCTCTCATAGAGATGTGGGATTTACGACAGGAAGACTTTGAAAATAATGAACAGCTTGTCAGACCACACAGATGCGATGTGTATAGAGAATGAAGGGTTGGGGTATGTAAATGTTCTTTTCAGTTTACTACAAAAAGCATTAGAGCATAAGACTGCACATGCTGTAGAGCAGTGGTCGCCAACCCGTCGATCGTGATCGACTGATAGATCTTTATCATTGTCCCAGTAAAAAATCCAGTAAAATCAAATCAAAAACAACTGCCTGTGCAGATCATGATTAAAATGCAGGTCACAGGTGAAACTCAATACTGACATCTTGTGGTCATTAAGAGAGGTGCCAAACCCCTCCCTCCCAATTTTTTTTAAAACAGCATAATAAAAATAATCTATTCTCCTGTTCTATTTTATACTATAAAAAAATATGAATAATTTAATAATAGTAAAAATACATAATAATATTAAAAAATTGTTATTTACATACTCTCTTTTGCCTGGAATTAAATTGTTTTCATTCCTACAAAGCTATTTAACCACAAATCATGAATTAGGACATATTAATCAAATATATTGTTATCACCTATTAAAGCATAAATACTACTGCCTCCCCTTGAGTCATGATGTAACTCACCAATACCATATTTAGAGCGATAATACTCTTTAGTGAAGTTGTCGCAGTCACATATTAACATCCTACGACCCCACACATTAATGACACCTCCAATGGTCAGGTCACATTCTTTGTAGAATTGTTCTTCTACTGCTCCAGTCTGTAAAATGTTAAGGAGACATTGACATACTAGTCCATTAAAACTGAAACAATTGGCTACTGAACTAATTAAAAATGGTATTTATAACTATAAACAATTGTTATTAAATTCCTAAGAGGGCATTGATAATGGACCATTTTTTAGTCAGTACTTACCTTGAGGCTATCCAAAATGTAGCGTCCTCCTTGTCCGACTGGTCCGAATACATTGAGGACTGTGCGGTCTGTTATTTCTCCAGGCTGATGTTTGGGAATAGGAGCATGCTGTTTGACACAATCAAGAGCAAAATAATAGAAATTTTTTATAACTTGAAGGAGAAGTGAAATTTGCTAATGGGTTCATAATTAGTTTTTCACTGGGGGACTCCCGCAAAACCTTTTTAGATGACATTTAGTGAGAGGCAACAGAATGAGTGACAAGACTACATGACAACAGAAAAAAAAAACCCCTGAACAAATCCTACTCCCTTCATAATGAATTTAGACTGCAAAACAAGCAGGGAGGAAACTGAAAAGTGCTTTAGGGAAGTTGGATGTTTCTTTCAGCCCTGTCAGTCTGGATAAAAGCTTGGCATGGAGGATGGAGAAATTTGTCCAAGCAAAAGAGTAGAGAGGAACTGATAACCACTTAACTGGTTTGAAGAGTAACCATTTAATTTCAGATTTTTCAAACACATTCATTGAAGTCATCACCTCTGCTTTTATTTGATCAAAATACAGTAAAAACATAACGATTTCATATTTGAATGTATTTTAAAATGTGATAGCAAAGCTGAATTTAGTGCTCAAGAAACATTTCTTCTTATTATCAAGATCTGTTAATAAATTATGGATATGTAAATGTAATTTTTTTTGCAGTGCTCTTTTTTTACAGACCTTGGGAAGCTTTCCCCTGTGCAGAAATTTAGGGACAGCATCTCGGCCAGAGTTTGGAAGGACAACTTCGTAAATTTCCATTGTGTCATCGGCCAGAAAGTAATGCAAGATCAGCTCTCTGGGGTCTCCAAACATGCTCTCGGTATCATCCCAGTAGCAGTAGAAGCGTAGGACTTTGCGGTCATGTTCCAAAAACTGCTTCAGGGCATCTATTCTTTCATACGGCCGCAGTGGCTTCATGTTCTCCTCCATCTGTGAGAGGGACAGAAACTGTATAATATTGAAGTATTGATATTGCTTTATAGATACATGGCGCTTTCTTACCTCTTGTCGATGTGTGGTATAGGGATCTGCTGGCGTGGAAGCAGGGGGGTTTAGGCGCACCCCCATTTTTATCAAGAAGTTGCGTGTGAAGGGGTCACAGTCCGTAATAATAAAGGTTCTGTTATAGAACACTATTTCCTGATTGATGTTAAAATGGTGCACATTGTAGAAGCAATCATCTTTAGGAGCTGGGAGAGGAATGCGGTGCCTCCGAATCAGGGTTCCTACATAGGAGGAGAACAGATGGATTTAAACAGGATGTTTTTACTATTTTGTCATTAATCAGGATGCTATACATTTGATTCTGATGGTTTACCCTGTGGGATCCCACTGTTTTTGAACTCTGGCTCCACTACTTGTATGGTGTCATCCTCCAGATAGAAGTAAATCTTGCACTTTCGCACTCTATATTTTTCTTCCCTCCTCTGAGGTACAGCTTCTTGGAAATAAGCATCAAAACACAGGACCTTCAGGTAAGAAAATAGCGTGGAAAATTAATATACTTTGCACAGCACTAGGTAAAATGGCTATATTATGTTCCCTCATAATAATGACAAACCTGTTTGTCAAAAGCAACCCATGCCGGAGCATCGCTGCCCTCTCCCTTTGGAAAAAGTGAATACTTGGGTCTTGCGCTCTGCCCCAGGAGTAGTTCTCCTCCAATGCCTGGCTTCTCTGACCCAACCATCATGGCTACTCCATTTGAATAATCAAAATGCTGAGATTTGTGAAATTTGTCTTTTCCAAGCTGGAAAATAATGAAGAGAAAATAAAATGACACTGTAAACTGTTTTCATCATTTTATGACAGAATCTTTGTTTCTTTCAATTTAACTTGTTCTGTCATCTGTACTTCATTTTATGTGTTTTTGTTTTTCTGAAAACATACAATGAACTTCACTGCAGGTTGTGAATTTGGCACCACTTTCAACGTTTTAGGCAGCAATGATTACATAAATGAACTCGCTAACTAACTAAATAGAATGACGTTAGTAGATACTACACACACACGCACGCACTTTCAATATTTTCAGTTTTTTAAGTAAATATTAGCAAACCGCTCTACTAACATAGCTAGCAATACTTAAACAGCTCTTATTCACATAAAGTTACTTTCCCTCAACACAGACAGAACATTTCTATAGATAATTTTGCGGTATCACTTACATTTCTATTGACTGAATTTCCAGGCAACATTGGTAACGCCATTATTACTAGCAAGCGATGTAGGATTTTCTAAGTGCAGGACGACCCCAGACTACTGAAAACTGGTTGCCAAGATAACAACTTGTTTGCAAGTATTATTGCTAGGCAACGAAACGCAGATCACGTGACAGTACATTCATTGGTCTTCAGTTCAAATACGATTTCGCTTGAAAGACATAGATCATATTTCAGGTATATCAATAATAAGTTCTTGTTTTGGCCAGTTTTGAATATCTCTATGTTTCATAACGCGTAACATGTATTGACAGACAGACAGACACAGATAGATAGATAGATAGGACAGAAATAATAAATTATTTTGAGATAATATAAATTGCTTATAAACATACTGTAGGACCTAAATTACTTCTGAATCTCTTCAGCCAAATTGTTGTGTTACTTTAAACTCCATAATCTATTAAGATTAACTGGGTGGCCAAATTCTTATAAAAGCACTTACCCTGTAATATAGATAGGACAGAAATAATAAATTATTTTGAGATAATATAAATTGCTTATAAACATACTGTAGGACCTAAATTACTTCTGAATCTCTTCAGCCAAATTGTTGTGTTACTTTAAACTCCACAATCTATTAAGATTAACTGGGTGGCCAAATTCTTATAAAAGCACTTACCCTGTAATATATATATATATATAAATTTAAACTGCATTTAAAGAAGTCCATGCTTTTGTCTACCATAAATTATATAATGATGTTTTTAAACCTTCGTTAAGTTTTGAGTTTTTTTTCCCTTGTAAAAAACAAAACATTATTAGACAGACCATAAACAACCAGAAAGACATATTTTTTTATTATTTCCACAAACATGTTATTATTGGTGGGTGATTCTGTATATTTAAAAAAATCGATCACAAAATAAAACACACAAAAAACAATACATGCTTCTGGACAAGTAAATATTATGGAAATTATACAACTAATTCAAATAATGTATTGTCAGAAAGTACAATAAGAAACACTTTAGTTGTATATGTAACAGACCTCATGTTGATGTCTTATTAAGAGTATGCAAAAAAAAAAAAAACATTAAAAAAATAACATTAAACCACACCAACAATTTTCTATACATTTATTGGCACAATATCTCTCTCTTCATCAGGATGATTAAGCTATGTACAGTTAAGAACAGGCATTGTAGAGGAATATATTTAGAACAACAGTTCAGCAAATGTCCATTGCACTGCTTCAGACAATACATCAAGTTTGAATGTTGTATTACTGTGATACCGACATAAGGGAGAATATTAATGTGCAAACTACTTATATCAGTGGCAATACAGTAGATCCAGGTTTCATTTAGGATGCCAGGCCCAGCAGAAAACCTCCAACAAATCCACCCGAGATAACAATATTCCTCTTCACAAATTCTGTCGACTGTAAGAAAAATACACCATTTACAGAATGTAGGATAAGTAACAACTTTCTAAAGTGTTACATGCCCACACTAAATAATAATACAAAATGCTTTATTGAACTGTGGGAGCTCAAAATATCTAGTAGACTGGTATATGAAGTTATGACGGATGCATGAAAGAATACCCACTTCTTCTATAAAGGAATTGAGCTCAGGGGCTGCTTTGTTTGCCTTTTTCTTCAAATGCTTTTTTGCTTTATTGACATCCTTTTCCACTTTCCTCCAGTCAACCTGCACATAGCCACTGTGGTTGGTAATCTGAAATGAGAAAATTAAGATTTTTTTCCCCCACTTAAGATGACAAAGAAGCATAATAAACCCTTAAAGCAATAGTTCACTCAAAACTGAAAAAATCATTGGAACAGATTTGGAGAAATTTAGCATTACATCACTTGCTTACCAGTGGATTCTCTGGAGTGAATGGGTGCCGTCAGAATGAAAAAGCAATATTATGGATCGAGGCCTTGTATTTTAGCCAGAAGGAACTGTTTGAAGTTAAAAATGAATTAATGATGAATTTGTTTATTACAAATGCACAGATTTTCAATTCATAAGATGTTAATGATAAACTGAAGTTGTGTTTTATTGCTATTATTGTGATGTTTTTATCAGCTGTTTGAACTCTCACTCTGACGGCACCCAACAGCAGAGGATCCACTGGTGAGCAATGATGTAATGCTAAATTTCACATCTACATGAAACACATCTACATGAATGGCCTGAGAGCGAGTAAACATTTAGCAAATTTTCATTTTTGAGTATTGGCTACGACATAAGATGCAAGCATTTTAATAATCCATACTTGTAGCAAAAGAAATCCCCCTCCAACAGCAGTAGCCACAATTTTTCCAACTCTCTGAAAAAGATAACCAGCACACCTGGAGGACAAAGGACAAAGCAATTTTGCATTTATTACTATGCATTATTTCATACATGTAGAATAGAATACTGAAGTTGGTGAATCAAATATTACAGCACATACAAAATAGCATAGGTTTCTTAATCTATATTAACACCAACCATCCTGTCACTCCACCCATCATGATCTGTGAAGCCACAGAGTACTTTTCTGCAATGGGTCCTGTACTGTTCCCAAAAACACGACTCCACCATTGATGCCTCCTGGCGTAATCTGTGATGTTAACCACCTCATATAATTCATCTTCACTCTCTGCATCTACATCTGAAAACAAAAGTAACTGTTATACATTAATTGTATATTTACAGCATCCAAAACCACAAAGCATGGACGCAAGTAAAAATACACCTTTATATAATTTATTAGGATGTTTTGCATTGGTAAACAATTGGTAAACATATTATTCGTGTATTTCCACCCAAGAACCAACTGTAGGTCCACAACCTGATTTACATTTTTTAATATTTTAGATTAGCCCCTTTATGATCGGATTTAAAAACAAAAGAAAGTAAAAAAAAAAAAAAAAAAACACAGCACGAACCTTAGGTATTTTAACAGTGATAATAAGGTCACCAACCTCACCATCGCACCTTACGCTAAAATATCAAACCTGGGAGCAAGGCACTTCAGAGGATATTTTGAATGTATTCACCGACATGCAGTTACAAAGACATGAATGAGAATTAAAACCGTATGAAAGTGGATTTTCAGAGATTTAGCCACATGATATCTGTACAGTCTGCCGACATAATAATCGATCACTATGCTGCTATAAGTTACTACATTACAAACTCTTGGAATCTCGTTGCATATAACCTATATGGTTAAATAAACACGTTGTCAATCAAGGCTCTTTATTCAAATGTTTGCTTGGCCAATTTGTTTACCTTCACCACGATCCGCCATTTTATGAGGCTCCGTTCACAGTGCTCAAAACCGCTGCAGCTCTACGCAAAATCCTGCGTAATTTCCGTGCGATCACTGTCTACAGACTCCTACGATCGCTTGTATGCGTTATTCACAAAATACTCCGCAAATTATTTCAAGTGTAATTTTTGTAATTTTACATTTTAAAATATTGTTTACCTACAATATCAGAGGTATTTTACACATACTGCCTGAAGCTGGCTTAATTTCAATAAGAAACACTGTAGTATTTGTATAACAATAATACTTAAGCAAGGGAGTAAAAAGAAGATACATAATTACTTCTTTCTTTCTTCTCTTTTTTACTTTCTTGCTTAGTATTTTGAAGGATGTAGAGATATATCTAATAACTTTAAAGAGAATAGTGGAAGAAAGAAAGAAAGAACGACATGATAAGATAAGATAAGATAAGATAAGATAAGATAAGATATGGTAGAACATGATAGGATAGGATGATATTTTATGTGATATGATAGAATAGAATGATATTTATTAGGCCTATCTGAAATTTAGGAATTACACCAGTAGACAAACACATAACTGATAACTACAAACAATAAAATTAAATACAGTACGGTACAGTACAATTCACTACCATACTATAATAAAAATTATAGAACCCTGAGTGAAATTGTATGTACATTAGAAAGAAAGAAAGAAAGAAAGAAAGAAAGAAAGAAACCAAATATTCCACATTTGCCACATAATCTGGAGTAATGAAAATCATACTAGCTCATGTAACAAACTGCCTAATAACTGTAGAAATCAGGCAACGTTTTCCTTACATCCTCAAAACCCTGAGTTTTCAAACAGACAGATGCTTTGAGCCAATAATGCGTTTTATGTTGGTGTTACGTAATCATAATAAATCCAGGTGAGCCAATCGCAGCAGGCGAAGATGCGGTGTAAAGTTAAGGGGTTTGTTATTTACCCTCCCCCTTGAAAGTTTATATGAAAAAATGGATCCCAAGACAAGGCCGATCACGTGGTCTCCACCGAAAGCAGCCATTGGCCAAAACCACAGAGAAGGCGTTCCGACGGCGGCGGCGTGGGTTCGCTTGAGTGACACAATTATAACAAGTTTGAGCTGGCGACTAGGGGGAAGTTTGAGATATTACTAAATAACAATTTGCCGTTAAATCCTGCATTGCTCGTTCTGCATGCATTTTGGTGTACCTGCGACTCATTTATGTCGAGGACAATGTGAAAAAGGGGGTGTTCAGAGGAAATTATTTTCCGTCTATTCTTTTTTGCGTTTGGATCCACGCAAAAAGGTGCTCGGCTTGCGGTGCGTAAATATTTTCGCTGGAGTTTTTTGTCTATGAAATCGTGCGGAGTGTCAGTGGCCGCTGTAGCTCGCGCTGCTGCTGGTGATGGTGATGAGGAAAAGAAAATGGCGGCGGGAAAAGCGAGTGAAACCGAGGAGGACTTTCCGAAGCTTACGCCGCAAGAAAGGGAGCGCTTAGCCAGCGTAGACAGGTCAGTTAAAGCCCCTTTACTTGCACCGATGACCCTCCGTGCATTTTTACGAGCCTTCCCCGCATGTTAAAGCGGTGCAAATGAATGCGGTGCAGGTAAAGTAACACGGAACCGCCTGTGTTGTCCTCTATTTGCAGTACACTGTTTGGATTTCAGAGGCTTCATGAAGATGGCGCCAGAACGAAGGCCTTGCTGTTAAAGGTATGAGTATATGTCACTGATGGAGGTCTGGAGACAGA